TGGACATAGTCAGACCGCTAGGGAGGTTAAGTCACTACCTTGGATGTGCATGTGTCACGTGCAATATGTAGGCTTGTAGATCTCAACAAGCCACAGGACCTGGGTATATAAACTGAAACAGGGAGCCTCATACCTGGCTGTATTTGTTATAAATAGAGTATGAGCGAAGTATTCAAAAAACGATTCGGTGAATTTCGTGCGCATCGAGAGGAATAAATTCGATTCAATGCGGAATATATTCGCTGCGAATTTTCTTATAAAAAAGGGTTTTTTTCTAGGCTTCAGAGAACCTTTTTTTTTAGTGCGAACACTGTCCCTTAAAATTTTAAAAGCCCCTTTGGGTTTGGGGAAGAGAAATTTAAAATGTCAGTCAGTATGACTTTCGTTTAGTGCCCTTCCCATCTTAGGAATTTCCCACCACTTCATCATTTGGGCGTCCCGGGGCCCAAAAACCCCCAAGTGTGGGCCACAGTGGGGCCCGGTGGAGGCAGCGCAATGCGAGGATACGGGACCCTATGACAAAGGGAAAACCCACCAGCGTGTGGGAGACCGGAAAGTGGCACATGGCAGAGTTGTGGCAAATGGAGCCTGCAGAATGGGAGGCCGTCGGGCCCATGACCCTTTCTGGCCCTGGCAGCTTTTTGGGGGGGGGGTAGGGGGGCCCAAAATGGCAAAATTAGGGGCCTGGCAGCAGCAAATGGGGGCCCCGAAAATTGCCAGAACCCTTTGACAAAATAAGGGAAACCCCCCGCAGGGTGAGGAGTTACTGCCCTAGGCCCCATTGTTATGGCGTAATGCTAACATCCGCCCCAGGGAGGCCTAACTGGACCAAGATCCATCTGGCCTTGCTCGCCGCTTGATGAGTGCAGTAACTTGTCCCCATCATAATACTTTCCATTTGTCTCCCTCCATCTTCTACTTACCCTTTTTCCCTTTCCTACAAAACTTCATTCCCTCTCCATTTCTTCCTACCACATCCCCTCCCCCACATCCCCAACATTCCCACCCTCCCGATATATTCTCCATCCCTATTCACCCTTTATCTAATATTCCTCATTCTCATCTAATAAAACCAATCTAACCCAATTCTATTCCCCTCTCCCATCTTCTTTCCCTCTACCTACTCCATCCCTCAACCTTTCATCAATACTTCTCACATCTTCATACTTAAACCTTATTTCACAATTCTTACTTTCATTCCTATCCATTTCTTCTACCACCACATCATCCCACACACCCCCATTAACCACCATCCTTTTCTTCTACCTTACCTATCCCCATTCCTATAGATTTCATTTCTACTCTCCATTTATTCTTACATTTCCCATCTTCCACTTTTACCTTTTTCGTCCAATAACCTTGGGGGCCCTTTTCCTTAAACGGGGGGCCGGGGCATCCCAATTTTTTCCTTCCCCTCCCAGGAAAAAAGGAACCCCACGCGTGGGGGCCCTGAAAGGGGCCTTTTCAGAGTGTGGGGAGGGACGGCAGCACCCCCTGGGGTTTTTCCCGAAAAGGGCCCCTGAGAGCTCTGGCCCGGGCAGCAGAAATGAGGAGGGGGGAAAGGGGGGGCCCATGGCAGTTTAAAGGGCCCTGGCTGCAGCAATGGGGGGCCCCGTAATTCCCCAGCACCTATGAAAAAATTTGGAACCCCCCAGCAGTGGGAGGAGCCCTAAATTTTTCCCAAGGGCCGGGAGTGTGGCGATGGAGCCCAGCAGCAATGGGGGGCCCCTTTACGGGGGCCCCTTTGGACAGATTACGGGCCTGGAAAGGCAGAATGGGAGGCGGAAAGGGGGCCCCCAGGGACAGTTTACGGGCTGGCAGCACCCAATGGTGAGGCCTTTAATCTGCCAGCCCCCTAGAAAAAAAGGGAAACCCCACCAGCAATTTGTGAGGAGCCCTTTGGAAAGTGGCCCCATGGCAGAGTGTGGCGAGGGGAAGACAGCGCAATGGGGGGCCCCGTCGGGGGACCCATGAGGGACCCCGGGAAACCGGGGCCGCAGCAATGGGAGGCGGTACGGGGGCCCATGGCAGTTTTTGGGGCCGGGCCCGCAGCAATGGGGGCCCGTAATCTGCCAGCCCCTAAAAAAAAAATTTGGAACCCCCCAGCAGTGTGGGGAAAGACCTAAAAAGGTGGCACATGGAAAGGTGTGGCGTTTGGGGGACAGAGCAATGGGGGGGGGGGGGAGGGGGGGGCCCGTACGGGGAACCCATGAGAGATCGGGCCCTTTTGGCCAACCCGCATGGGAAAGGGGGGGGTACAGGGGCCCTTTGGACAGTTTTCGGGCCTGGAAAGCAGAAGGGGAGGCCCGTAATCTGCCAGCCCCCCTTATGCCCAAAAGGGAAACCCCCACCAGCATTTGTGGGGGCCCGGGAAAGTAAAAACCATGCAGGGGTGGGGCCCGATGGAGACAGCAGCAATGGGGGGGCCCCGGTACGGGCCCATGAGAGACTTTTGGTTTGGCAGCGCATGGGGGAGGGGGGGTAGGGGGGGGGCCCGGGAAGTTTGGGCCCCCCCCCGGGCAGAAAGGCAATGGGAGGCCCGTAATTTTCCCCAGCACCCTATGACAAAAATGGAACCCCCCAGCAGTGTGAGGAGCCCTGAAAGTGGAAAAGGAGGTTTTGGCGATGGAGCCCAGCAGAAGGGGGGGCCCGTAAAAGGGCCCCATGAGGGACCTGGACCGGGGCGCGGGAGGGAGGGGCGGTACGGGGGCCCAGGGACAGATTAGGGGCCGGGCCCAGCAGAAATTTGGGGAGGCCCGTAATCGCCGGCCCCCCTATGACAAAAGGAAACCCCCACCACATTTGGTGAGGGACCTGAAAGTGGCAATGGCAGAGTGTGGGCAATGGGACAGCGGGCCAATGGGGGGCCTTTACGGGGGACCCTTGGGGGATTTGGCCTGGCCCCGCAGGGAGGGGGGGGGGTTTAGGGGGGCCCAGGGCGTTTAACGGGCCTGGAAACCCAGCAATGGGGGGGGCCCCGTAATCCCCAAAGCCCCCTATAACAAAAGGGAAACCCCACCAGCGTGTGGGGAGACTGAAATGGCAAATGGAGGTGTGGCGTTTAGAAAACAGCAGAAAAGGGGGGCCCGGGTACGGGGGAACCCATGAGGACTCTGGACGGGCACCCGCTTGGGGAAGGCGGTACGGGGGGCCCAAAAAAAAGATTAGGGGCCTTTGGGCAGAAAGCAATGGGGGGCCCCGAAATCTCCCGCACCCTTGAAAAAAATGGAACCCCCCGCAGGTGAGGAGCCCGGGAAATTTTGGCAAAGGGCCCGGGGGTGTGGCAAAGGAGACGCCCCCAATGGGGGGCCCGTACAGGGACCCTTGGGGGGGGAG